CCCACTGCTGCCTGGATAACACCCACGGGATATCTGCTCCCCACTGCCAGCCTGGCTGTGGAGCCAGCAATATCCAGCAGACCTGGAAGCAGGTTTAGCAAAGTCCATTGAGTCCGTCCCCTGCATGTGGGGACACTGGCTCAGTCCCAGAGGGGAGGGCAGGGAGGGTCCCGTGCCCTGTGCCCCCCGAGGGGGCTGCAGGAGTGCCCGCTGTGCTCCCAGGAGCACGGGAGGGAGAGGTGCTGGTTCTCTCCTCAGCGGGCACAGACTGACCCTTCTCTCTGTCGTCCATCAGAGAAGGTGACGCTGGACCCAGAGACGGCGAGTCCTTTCCTGCTGCTCTCTGCAGACCACAGAACCCTGCGCCTGGCAGAGGGATTCCAGGACCTCCCCGACACCCCCCAGAGATTCACGGACAGCCCCAGCGTGCTGGGCTCCCGGGGCTTCACGGCTGGCAGGCACTACTGGGAGCTGGAGGTCGGGAAGGGGCACAGCTGGGCCGTGGGGGTGGCCCTGGAGTCCGTGCAGAGGAAGGACTCGCTCAGCATTGCCCTGGGCAAGGTCTGGGCCCTGCGGCTGGACTGGGATGGCCAGTACACGGCGCTCCACGGGCTGCCCGCCCTGCTGGCACTGCAGGAAAAGCCCCGGAGAATCAGGGTCCACCTGGACTACGAAGGGGGCCAAGTGACCTTCTACAACACAGAGAACATGGCGCAGATCTTGCAGTTCAAGACCTCCTTCACCGAGAAGGTCTTCCCGTACTTTTGGCTCTGGTCAGCAGACACCTTCATCCGCCTGTGTGACTGATGGGATCGGGTGCCTCCCAGTGCCCTGCCGTGCCCTGGGCTGGCTGAGCAGGCAGGAAGCGTGGCAGTGACACAGCACCACGCTGCAAACTCGCCACAGCTCTGCCTGGGCTGGGTCTGCTCTGGGCGTTGCTGCATCTCCTCCTTCTGAGTCCTCTGGAGCATTAAAGACGTGCTGTCCTGCCTGGGGGTGTCTGCATGCTGGTGTCCTGGCTAGATCCCGTGGTGGCAGTGTCCTACCTGTCCCTGTGGGCACTGAGGACACAGGAGTGATCAGCAGGGAGGCAGGGAAGGCTCTGATTGCCCGTGTGGGTCTTTGGCAGCGCTTCATGGCTGGTAGCATGGCTTGGTGTGGGGTGATGTGTTGTAGGGTGCAGCCACCCCACACCCAGGAAGTCAGGGTGGAGCCACGAGCCGATAGTAGTGGCTGAAAACCCCTGCAAAAACGGTTTCTAGAAAAGAAAATGTTCAGGGAGGGGGCAGGGCAGAGCGGAGAGCTGGAGCGAGGGCACAGCCTGAGCCTCTCTGGGCTGGCAGAGCAGCAGGAGTGTGATGGGGATCTGTGAGATCCCGGGAGGTCAGGGCAGGAGCAAACACCACACTGTGTAACCCAGGAACTGGGAACATCGTGTGACTGGTGGGTGGCAGGGCCCGGGCAGAGGAGTGGGATCCCCCGGATCCAACATGATCAGCTGGAGACAGCAGCCCCTGAATCCACCAGGGAGATCTGGCAGAGGATCTGCCAGGGACTCGACAGCAGGGATCTGCAAACCCTGAGCTGAGGAGAACCCACACAACCCGCTGGGGCCACTCTGTCCTGAGCATATCACTGAATCACCACCTGTAAAGTGGGAACAACATGTTCTGGAGCTGGGATGGCTCCCCCCACACCTGCAGAGCCATGGAAGGAGCTCCCTCCTTCCCACGGCACAACCATCGCTGCTTCCATCCTGCTCCGTGGCTGTCGAGGGGGCAAACACGGCAGGGTTTTGCACTGGTGATGTGGGAAGGGCTCCTTGTTTCGCTGATACCCATTACCTGCTGAGTTTGTGCCCTTTTCCCCTCGTTTCCCCCAGATTTCCCCCCTTCCCCTCAGTCCCACGGCAGATGGAGGCAAGGCGAGGCAATGGGTCCTCTGAAAAACTGTGTTTCTGTGTGCGTGTGTCCATTTTTAAGGCAAATAGCAACACATGGGTAAACACCACACTCACTTGTGCCCTTTTCCCCTAATTTTTCCCTGTTTTCCCACCTCTTCCCCTCAGTCCCAGGGCAAGTCAAGGAAAGGCAAGGCAAGGCAATGGGTCTGCTGTAAAGCTGGGTGTGTGTCCATTTTTAAGGCAAATGGCACTTTGGGTAAATGCCACACTTACTTCTGCCCTTTTCCCCCTCATTTTTTCCATATTTTTCCCCCTTCCCCTTAGTCTCAGGGCATGTCAAGGCAGGCCAAGGCAATGGTTCTGCTGTAACGCTGGGGGTGTGTCCCTTTTTAAGGCAAATAACAACACTTTGGGTAAACACAACACTCCCTTTTGCTCTTTTTCCCCCCTCATTTTTTCCATATTTTTCCCCCTTCCTCTCAGCCCAGAACAGGCCAAGGCAATAGCTCTGCCGTAAGGCTGGGTGTGTATCTATTTTTAAGGCAAATAGCAACACTTTCGCCCTTTTTCCCTCGTTTTTCCCAGTTATCCCGCCCCTTCCCCTCCCGTCCCCGGCCGAAAGGAGGCAGCCGGAAACATGGCGGCCAAGCGGCGCCTCGGCGAGGCTGAGGACTACATTTCCCAGCACACAACGCGCAGGGCAGAAACGCATTCCTCCCTTTGGGAATGCCGGGAAATGTAGTCCTCCCTCCACCCCTGCTCTCTCGCCCTTCCATTGGTCCGAAGGCACGTCGATCACGGGCGGTGGGCGGGGCCCGGCCCCTGCGCGGCCGTTCCTACTGGTGGGAGCGCGCGCGGTGGGAGGGGGGGTTTGAAAAAAAACAACCCGCCCCCCGTCGCGCGCCGCGCGCTGATTGGCTGAGCCGCCGTTTGGCGCCAGCTTCGGAGAGGCCGACGGGTACCGGCTGGGGCCAAAGCGCCGCGGCGGCCGCGGTGACGGGAGCGCTTCGCTGTCCTCTGCCCTGCCCGGTCCCGTTCCCGGTCCCGCTCCTATGGATCTCCCGCCCGCCGCTCTCCACCGCCGCCGCCGCCTCTCGCTCGTCTCGCCGGCGTCCCCCGCCTCGCCCGCCGTGGTCAAGGCGCTCTTCCAGGACGAGCTTTCGCCCGTCTCCGACCTCCGCCTCAGCATGGAGCAGCTTGGGCGCGGGTGAGTCGGGGCAGGGGGGGGCCCTCTGAGGGCAGGCCCTGGGAACCCCCCCTTTTTATCATGAGAACCCCTCCAAAAAAAAAAAAAAAGGGAGGCTCGAGGGTTTATCTCCCCCCCTCTTCCTTCTATACTAAAACATCCCCTTTCCCTCCGCCCGTCCGGGGCCTTTTCTCCCCCCCTTCCAGGGCCTTTTCTCCCCCTCCTGGACCCGAAGCGAGGCCGGGGGGGGCTCCCCCCCATGTAAAAAAAAAAAGCCCAAGGCCTCCAGGAGTCGTTTTCCTTCCGTTCCGTTCCCTCCCCCGCACTGGAGCCTTGTGGAGCTTCCCGCCTCCCGGTCCTTTGCTCCCCCCAAACCCTCAGGGGTGGCTCTTAACACCCCCTCCCAACTCCCAAACCCTCTGGGGTGTCTTTACACCCAAAGCCCCAAGGATGTCTTTTATAACCCCCCTCTCTCTCAAACTCTCCCAATGTCTTTTACCTCTGCTCGGCCCCCCCCTTCCAAAAAAACCCCAAACCCCTTTCAGGGATGTCCTTTAGCCCCCCAAATCCCAACTGCAAGGCCTCGAGGAATTGGAATTCATCTCCTTCCCTCTCGTTCCAAGAACAAGGCCTCGGGGAGCTCATCCGCCCTCCCCCCCAAAAAAAAAAACACAACTGAGGCCTCGTGGATTTCTCCTTCTTTTCCTTCCCCACCCCCGAATCGAGGCCTTGGGGGTCTCTTCATTCCCTTCTCCCTCCAGAAATGAGGCACTGAGGGCCTTATCCTGCTTCCTCTCCTTCCAAACGCCCCCACGGCCCAAACCCGAGGCCTCCAGCCCCTCTTTTCCCAACCCTCCCCCCCCAAAAACGGGACCTGGAGGAGCTGTTTGTCCCCACTCCCCACCCGTGACGCCTCGAGGAGTTTTATCCCCCCCACCAGGAAAACTTCCACGATTCCCTAAACACCCCCCTCCCCATGCCCGATGCCTCCACCTCCCCCATGGATCCCCGTGGATCCAGTGCCCTGGGCCACCTTCCCCTCCTGTGTCCCACCCTGGCTCTGCTCTGGGCGTCCACCTCCCTCCTGAGCCCTTCCCTGGCCTTCCCCCTCTCCCACCAACACCTTTGTGCCCACTTTTCATGCCTTCCCTGCACCATCTCAGCTCTGTCCTTCCTCCCTCACCCTGTTCCCGCACCTTCCTCCTCCTGTACTCCCAGAGCTCCAGCCATGCAGTTGCTCCATCCAATTTTGCTCTTTCTGATCTCCTTTAATCCCGTTATTCCCCCAGTTTCCCTCCTGAGTGGCTCCTGTTTTGCCCTGGCCCGCTCTGGTCTCGATGACCCTCCTGGTTTTGTGTTTGTTGCTCTTCCATCATTCTGGTTTTCTGCAGTCACCTGCTTTAGGATCCTTCCCTCCTTCAGATTCCTGGGATTCCTGCAGACCATTGGCAGTGCCCTCCATGTAAATTATTCAAGTAGCTTTTCTTTTATTTAAGCGAGGCTCCATGTGGTTTTCTTATCTCCCAGCGCTGAGCTTTAGTGGATATAACAAAATGTGGGAGTCAACTCCTTGTAAAAATGGTTTTAAATTAGAAGTTTGGCATTTTTTGCTGTGCAAGATCCGAATTAAAGGAGTGGCTGCCAGAGAGAGGGTTGCACTTCCAGCTGGGATCCCTGATAGAACTCCCTGGAGTGTGGTTTGGGAGGTGCTAATGCGACTCCAGGCACCAATAACCAGTCTGTTATTCTGAGGTATCAAAACCTTCCTCTGTGAGGGCACAGGCTCTAAAAGAATGTTTTGAACCCCCCAGAGTTGATGTGAACGGAGAAATGTTTGGTGTGAGGAGACCAGGAAGGCAACCAGGATAACTGCTGTGTTAAATGACACTTCCCCTGCCTCAGAAGCCAAATTTCCAATATTTTCAAACCCAAAACATGAAGCTTCAGGCCCTGTGGGTGTTGGATCTGATCCAGTGGTGACATTGTCCCCGTTCTCAGCAGCACCCAGAGCACAGGACAGTGCTCTGCAGGTTTTCCAAGTGGGAATCTCCTCACCTGGCTGATGATAAAGGTTCCAGGTGATGATCACCAGGTTGTATTTGTTGCCTCACAGAGCTTTTAAACCAAATCCCAAACTTCCCTTTCCAGGCAGCGGGAAAACACGGAGCAAGACCTGGGGAACAAGAATGGATTGCAGAGATCTTCATCCTCAGAATCCACAGACTCAGGTATGGCCTTCCCAGTTAACAATTAACAATTAAGGATTGAAAAGCAGCTGCCAGGGTTTGGATAGAGAGCCTTCCCTGCCTGCAGTCCCACCATTCCTGGGGTGGAAAACAGGGAGAAGGTGTTGGGATCCCATCTCTCCCGTGGGACTCCTGCCCTTTGGAGGGTGATGAAGGCGAGTCCCCACCATCTGTTTTCTCTCTCTGAACCCAAACTGGGCCAGCCTGTCTCAGTTGAGTGGGTTTGCCTTGTGGTTTGGGGCTGTGGGGTTGTGTTTTTTTTTGTTACCAAGAGCTGGTTGTTTATCTGAAACACTTCAGTTCTGATGCTTGCCTAGAGAGATTTCCTTTGTTTCAGGTGAGAAGCTTTATCAGTAAAAATGAAACAAGCTCTTACCCCGTAACTTGCAGGCACAGAGAAGCTCTGGTACCTCACTGCTCCAGCTCAGGGAAATCAGCGTTTCCACCTGAATTTACACCCCACTTTGAAGGCACTTTTAGCCTAGAAATGAACTTTATGAACTTCTAAAACCAAAGTCCAGCTCACAAAGCACAGAGCAGGACAGAACAACCAACCTTGTGAAATCCTCACTCTCTCCAGCTCCTCAGGAATCTGTGTCTGAGTAACTTTGCAGCTCCACAGCATTTTAGTACAGACAAATGCAATGTTCTGCTTGGCTTGTGCTTATGAAGTGCTACCTGTTCTTTCCAGTGCATTAGGAAGGGCCTTTTGACTACTTATCTTTTTGGAATAAGCCCAAAATTTCTTCCTGGGAAGAGGTATAACTAAAAACATGGCTTAGAGAAAAAAAAACCCAACCTATATGACTAAACTGTTTGTTTATTAAGGTGTGTGGGAGAGAATAAGCCAAGAACATTCCATGTGACAGTCTAGGCAGGGCTAGGGGGGCTTTTTTTTAATTGCTCCTGGTTTTCCCCAAGCACTTGATTATCCATATCTGTGTCCAAATCCAGCCTTAGGGAGTGTCTGTAACCCTGACCTGGAGGTGAGGCTGCACGTGGGACTCTCCACGGGAGCTCCCCGGGTCTCTCTGTGGCAATCTGTCACAGTGTCCAGCAATCCCTGTTTCCTGGGGACTGACCACCAGGAATTCTGTGTGTCCCCTGCAGGTTTGGCTTTGGATTCCCCCGGCCCTGCGACCTCCGGCGACCCCGTGGAGGACACGTATGTAACCACGGGTTAGACCCGTGTGTAACCACGGGTTAGACCCGTATGTAACCACGGGTTAGACCCGTCTGTAACCACGGGTTAGACCCGTCTGTAACCACGGGTTAGACCCGTCTGTAACCACGGGTTAGACCCGTCTGTAACCACGGGTTAGACCCGTATGTAACCACGGGTTAGACCCGACTTGGGCGTGCTGGATCAGCAACAAACGGGGCTTGATGAGGCCCTGATGAGGCTTTGCCTTTGCTGGCACGTGTGGGCTCTTCCCTCACGAGCTGGAGGTGCTGGGAATGGTCCTGCCCGTGTCCCAGGTGTTGGCTCTGAGCTAAGGTGTTGTACCACACACCTCACCAGGAGCCTGAGGCTGCACCGAGTTGCAGTTTCCAACGCTTAAATTGTGCTTTTCTGTGCCTTAACTGGTCACAGAATCCCAGAATCATTTAGGTTGGAAAAAACCTCTAAGATCATCAAGTCCAACCTTTGACCCATCACCACCTTGTCAGGTAGAACTGATGCCAGCAGTTACCCTGAGCTTTGAGCTTGCCACTCCCAACTGGATTATTTCTCCCCCCTAATCTATTCCCAGGGATGGGGACAGATGCCCTTGGTCCCTGATTTACCACGCCCTTCCTCCTTCAGCCTCACTTCTTGTCTGAACAGTGCTGGAAAGAATTTAAGGGAAGGAGGGGAGAAGGAGTCTTTGAGTGTTTCAAAAATCAGGATGGGATAGCCTGGCTATAAATAGGGTTTGGGAGAGACAAGTGTCATTAAGAAGCAGGTTGCCCAAAGCAGCTGTGGCTGCCCCACCCCTGGAAGTGTCCAAGGTCGGGTTGGACAGGGCTTGGAGCAACCTGGGCTGGTGGAAGGTGTTCCTGCCCGTGGCAGGGGGTGGGAATGGATGCTCCTTAAGGTCCCTTCAAACCCAAACCATCCTGGGATTCTGTGTTGGCTTGTGCTTGGCATAACCCCTAAATATAGGGCTGACTTTTAATGTGCATCTCTCTTGCTTTTAGGTTTGAGAAAGCAATTCTCAAATCCAGCAGACTGAAGTGAGTATAATTCTATTTTAAACTCTTAGTGTCTGCTGTAGCTTATGGAGTTGGGGGGGGTGAGTTTTAATCATGTCTTTTAAAACAAAATGTTGAAATAAATCTCTGTTCTTTTTCCCTGCAGCCTTCGAATACCTTTCAGGAGAATACACTCCCTGCCAGTAAGTGAGAGTGGTACTGATGGTCTGCAAATGCTAAAGGATTTAGCATGTTCCTGGTTGAATACATTGCCTAACTTGCTAATTTTCTGGCTGCAAAACCAGCTGCTGAGGGTGCTTAATGCAAACTGTCAGAATTGCAGCTTGTACATTCTAAATCTCACTTAAGTCCCCGTGAAATCTCCGTGCTGTGGCTCCATCACTGCTGCAGTGGAAGCATTTTGGTACCTGTGCTGAGATGTCAGCAAAGTTTCCTGCACAAATTCATAGTCAGAGACTTTACAGTCTTTATTAACCCCTTGTGTGCTTAAAGTGTGCTTTTTGCACAATACTGAACTGGCATTTTTGTGTGGTCATTGTAGCAAAATCTGCTGGGATCCAGCCCTGCCCTGAAGAGAAACCATTCAGATTCTCTGGACAGTGATGCTTTCCAGCCACTGGCACAAGATGAAAATAAGGAGAATGTAAGTGATTAGAGATTAATAAAAATTGGGAAGACTTTGAATGTGCAGCTCCACCACTAAGCCTGACTCCTTTCTGGCTGTGGCAAGGGAGGAGGTGTTCTCTCTGCTTGCTCTAGAGAATTCCAAGGGCTGCCTCCAGGAAGCTGTTTAGGTGGATCAACCCCTCTCATCCCACTGCTGCCATGGATTCCTCGTGGAATCAATGTCCTTTGGCTACTGGGAATCCCATGGGTGGGACTCTGACAGGTCTGCAGGAGAGGACACAGCCTTGGCTGCCTTCAAAAATGATGTATTTTGCAGAGAAGTTGACTGACAGGGATAGAAAAGCCTTCAGCCTGTAGGTGATGTCAGGAACATAAATTTTGGATTATGTTAAATGAAACACTTGTAACGTCTTTCATTTGAAAACATTCACCTTCAGACTATTCCTGTTGGCAGCAGGGAGCTTAAATCCAAAATGGCAGGTAGTTTTAAAAAAGCCCTGTGAGGATAAAATGATCCAAGCAACCCACACAGTTTGTCATTCTGGTAAAATGTTTGTTTTCTTCCTTTTTAATTCAGGAATCATTTGAGTTTAAGAAGCCAACCAAACCAGCCTCTCGTTGCTTCCGTGATGGAAGGGCTGGAGCGAGGCAGAATTCATCTCCAGCTCAGATTGTAAGTTCTTTTAAACTAATTCTCACCTAATTCCTTGCTGCCCACTCTCTGGGAGGAAGACAAATTGTGTCAGGGTTCAAGGGCAGTACTGTCAGTCACCGCTGCTCAGGTGCCAAATAGAAAGACTTATTTATCTGCCAGATAAGAAAATTTTTCTCACCTTTGGCTCCTGAAATGGTCAGAAATTTGGAATGTGGATTGTTCTGGGAAGGATGAGTCAGTGCAGAGCTGAGGTTCTGCTGCAGTAACTGAAGGGAGTGTGGGCATTGATGTGGAGTTGGAATTGATTTCAGTATCACTTATGTTGAGGCTGATGCATTTGGAACAACAACCCCAGCTGTGCAGAAAAAGCCTGATTTTTGTGTCCAGATGTGACACCCAGGGAGAAAATGTTGCCTTATTTGTATCCTGTTGCTTAGAAAAAGCAACTGAAAAATCATGATGGGCCCTTGCACAGAAACAGGGTGGGGGGCCAGGTCTTGCCTCCACTCCTTGAGTCTGGCAGCCCCTCATCCTGCCAAGTCCTCTCTGTCCTGTTTGCTCCATGTGAAGGAATAACCTCGGTGTTCCCTGCGGTGCAGGAAGGTCATGGCATCAGCTCTGGGAAGAGAAGGAATGTCGTTAAAATTGAAACTGTCTCCTCTCAGATCGCCATGGATGAAACCCCCTCGGGTGAGCAGGAGAACTACAGGCCAGCCTTCCTGCAGCAGCATTCCCTGACCTCGGAAAGCGAGGACGACGACGGGTTCCTGGAGCTGCTGGATGACCAGGATTTGAAGGTATGTGCAAAGGGAATGGGGTGGAGATCCCAAATACGGTTCTGCCTGATGCTGCTGTGTGTGTCTGTGGTGCAGGTGTGTTCTGGCAGAAGTCAGTGTGCTCAGTCAAACTGCAATAAGTTTAGGGAATCATGGAATCCCGGAGTGGTTTGGGTTGGAAGGAACCTCAAAGACCATCCAGTTCCAGCCCCCTGCCATGTGCAGGGACACCTCCCACTAGGAGATGAGGTGTCATCATCTTTTTCAACTCACACTGTGGTATCCCTGTCTTATCCCTGCTCTTTCCTAGTGCAGACAGTGGGATTTGTTTGGTGTGTGAACAAGGAAGGTATTTTTAGTTGGAGAACTGCATTACGAGAGAGAATTATTGGAACAGTTGGCATTTTGCTTTAGAAACTTGCTGGAAAACTCAGAGGTGGTGTTTGCTTTGCAGCCACTTAAATAGAGAACTGTTTGCAGCTGAATTTGAGACGCTTAAAGCTCTGGAGGGTCATCACTGTTGATGCATCAATGAGCTGATATAACTCCAGCGTGTCTCAGCTCGGGTCTGTTGTTTCACTGAGCATTGGCCTGATAACGGAGTTACATTCCCAAAGCTGCTCTGGCAGCTGAACCCAGCTGGGATGTTTGCCCCAGCTGTGCAGGAGCTGTGTGTGCAGCCTGTGGTGCAGTAGGTGGGATGACCCTCCTTTCCTCCCCCCTCAGAACGACGAGGAGGTGCCGTCGGACGTGGCGAGCCTCTGGACCGCGCCCCTGGTCATGAGGAGGGCGGACAATCGGGTGAGTGTTCCCCAGCACAGAGTCTGGCCTGTGTCCTGGCACTTCCACTGCCCAGACAAGCCATCCCACTGTCTCCTGGATCCCTAAGGACAACAACAAAACAAGCCCTGGCATGACCCCCTGCAGTGTTCCCTTATCTCTGAAGCTGTTTGCCTGGAAGACTTTGTCAGCCTGGAACACTTGTAGGCATTAAATTTCTTTTTACACTTCACAAGCTGTGAGAAAATCTTGACTTCCCTTATCAGAATCTTGTTGGCATATCTGGAATTCGCCCTGCACAGGCTCACCTGGAATGCTGATCCCCTGATAAGGGACTGGGAAAGGAGTTTAGACTCCAGTAAGAGGCTCCTTGATCTGCTGATAGATTGGCTGCTAATTGGTGCAGAGCACTTCATCTTGCTTGGGATGCTCCAAGCTCCCCCAGTCCCCCCAGTAGCAAGTGTTACTGGAAATGCAAAGCCTGAATAATTCAGATTACCATCCCGCAGTTGCTGTGCAGTGGTGGTGTCTCAAACAAGGCAAAATCCGTAACAATCTGTAATCCTGAGGCTTGTTTCATTTTCCAAGCCAAACCTCTGCTGGAGAACTCAACTCCTCTCCTTCCTCGCAGGCCAAACGGTGCCGCTTGTTTGGCTCTTCATCCGTGTCCAGCATTGCAGGAAGAACCACCCAGAAGAGGATGGAGAGATCCCAGGAAGACAATTCCCCAGGGAAAAGCAAGAAGAGGAAAAGCCTGCCTGGAACTTCCGAGGACCCAACGGTTGGTGACTCAGCATCCAGTTTGCAAGGGAGAACTGACTGGGGGGGATCTGATATTGGTGCCTGGGTTATGAAGGTCAACGGGGGCTTTTTTTTGGCCGAAAAGTGAGATTTGGGGGAGCTGGGGCAGCACTTGCATATCCTGAACCTGAGCTTTGCCCTAGAACAGCAGGGAAGCTGAGGAGTCGGAATTCAGAGCTCTGGAGTCGAGTCTGAGCTCTGTGTTATGGGAAATAGGGAATGGGATGTGTGTGCTGGCAGTGCTGATCTCTGCCCTGTGTCCTCCAGAATGTGAAACTGGTGAGGACCCAACCCTCCACAGCAGAGATCGAGAGCATCTTGGACAGCGACCAGAGAGACCTGATTGGGGACTTCTCCAAGGTAATTCCAGGGATTCCATGGCCAGGGGTTTGCTGGAGTGTCCCAATGGCCTCTCCCAGTGGGGATGGCTCAAACCAGCCCAGTAAAGCCCCTCCCTTTGCAGAGGCTTTTCTGCTGCTACATAAATCTTGCTTGGTTGGACTTGAAGGTTGGACTTGACGATCTTGGAGGTCTTCTCCAACCTTAACCATTCTATGGTCCTCAAACAACTAGGAGAGGCTGTTGGTGAGAAGGGACAGGTTAGACACAAAGTGATTAATTTGTAGTTAAAGACCTACAAAATCCCTCTGGTGCAGGAGCCAGAAATTAAATTCTGTCCCTGACTTTAGAATTCTTGGTCTTAACTCCTGAAGAGATTCTTGTCATCAAAGTATCTGTCAGAGAATGAACTGCTGGATGCTGTGACTCACATCTGGATTTTCTCCATCCTCTCTGTCTTAGAGTTATTTACTTGACACTGTTGATGGGAAACATCAGGATTTAAAATACATCGACTCGGAAATGGTGAGTGCTCCAAGGAGAGGCAGGAAAATTCTTTACTGGGGTTTAGGGGACAACACAAAAGCATCTTGAAACAACTGACCTCTGTTTTTTTGGGTTTTTTTTGGGTTTTTTTTTTTTTTTGTTTTTTTTGGGGGTTTTTTTTTTTTTTTTTTGGTTTTTTTTTTTTTTCTCAGATTGTGTCCGTGCTGACTGGGAAGTTTGAGAGCTTCATCAAGCAATGTGTGATAATGGACTGCAGATACCCCTACGAGTACGAAGGAGGGCACATCAAGGTATGTTGACCCTGTAAGAGCAACCCAGAGGGGTCTGAAGTTGCAGTATGGGGTCACTTGGCCCCACGTGGGGCTGACTGTTATCCAGGGCCATGTGGATATGTTATTCCTGAGCTGCCCCACTGGGACCCTGTCCCACCCACCCACTGCCTGGATCTTGGACACTGAGCTCACACTTGGTTCATAAAGTGCCTTTTCCCCTCAGAGGGGAGTGTTCTGCCCTCCTTAAGCACAGGAGGGGGCCTGTGTGGCCCTCAGGGAGATGGTTCCAGTGGAAGGATGTAAGACACTCAGTGTGCAACATCCTGGTATCCAGGGAAGCTAAAATTGGAATATTAAACTTAATTTAAATCACAGACTTCAAAGAGCAAAGAGCTGTGCAAAACATAACCAGGAACAGAACACCCAGAGAGGATGTGGCCTTAGAGCCCCTTCCAGGGCCTAAAGGGGCTTCAGGAGAGCTGGAGAGGGACTGGGGACAAGGGATGGAGGGACAGGACACAGGGAATGGCTTCCCACTGCCAGAGGGCAGGGTTAGATGGATATTGGGAAGGAATTCCTCCCTGTGAGGGTGGAGAGGCCCTGGCACAGGTTGCCCAGAGAAGCTGTGGCTGCCCCTGGATCCCTGGAAGTGTCCAAGGCCCAGCTGGAGCAACCTGGGCTGGTGGAAGGTGTCCCTGCCCATGGCAGGGGGTGGAATGGGATGATCCTGAAGGTCCCTTCAGACCCAAACCATTCTGGCATTCTGTAACTGATCCTGGACATTGCTGCTTGATCAAAGGCCATCCCAAATACATGAGGTGGGGAGGGAAATCCCAGGAACCACAGCCTACAGGTGCTGAATTGTCCATCTGAACCAGGTCGTGGTCACCCAGAGCCAGTCCCAGACTCTCTGGTGTGCTGGTGGGCTTTGGAGCTGGGTTTGGAGAGGGTTCCAGGGCTCCTCCAGCAAACCAAGGGGAGGAAACTGCCCTCAAGGGAGTGGGATAAGTTTGTTCAGTTCCCCCTGCCCTCACAGGGTGCCATAAACCTCCACATGGAAGAGGACGTGGAGAACTACCTGCTGAAGCAGCCGATCGAGCCGGCGGAGAACAAGCGGGTCATCGTGGTGTTCTACTGCGAGTTCTCCTCGGAGCGGGGCCCTCGGATGTGAGTGCCCAGCCCTGGAGGAGGACCTGCTGCAGTGCTGGGAGCGGGGCTGTGGGGGTGGCACCACCAGGACATGGGGGTTGTCACCTGTGGCACAGCCCGTGGTGGGAGTGGCCAGAGTGCTGGTGTGTTCCGAGGGAAAGGGAAAAACCGGTTCACTGTGGCTGTGTGGGTCCTCAGCCCCTTCCTGACAGGCTGCAGCAGACCCCTGTGGTCCCAGGGACGGGGAGCCTGGGGTGAGAGCTGGCTTTGGGTGTTGTTTGTGGAATGCAGGGTTCACCAGGATCTTTCGTGCTGCAGGTGCCGGTTCGTGCGGGAGCAGGACAGGCTGAGCAACGAGTACCCCAGCCTGCACTACCCAGAGCTCTACGTGCTCAAGGGGGGCTACAAGGATTTCTTCTCGAGATGCAGGGTAAGGGACTTCCTCCCAGACTGTGGATTCCCCATCCCTGGAAGTGTTCAGGGCTTGGAGCAGCCCAATCTAGTGGAAGGTGTCCCTGCCCCTGGCAGGGGGTGGAACAAGATCTTGAAGGTCCTTTCCAACCCAAACCATCCCCTGATTGTTCTTTGATCTCTTTCACACTCAGGAGAAGTGGTAGATAAGTATGATTGATTTGTTCATGCTCAGACTTGTCATTGGGGCAGAGTGGCTTGGCTGGGGTGGCTTTTCTACTCTCTCTGTGCTCTGTTCCCAGAGCAGCTCAGGTTTGGCTCTCTGAGCCTGTTCCTTCCCTCAGAGCTGTTTTCCTGCCATAGCTGAAAGGTTTTTCCACTTGTCTCAGAGGTAAAGTATAAAAGTGGTTTCTGCCCTTGTAGAACAAACTGTCACTGAGGGAAGGGACTGAAGGCTGCTCAGCCTGCACAGAGCAGGGGAGAAGACAAGGCTTGACAGCAATTGCTGGATAACAAATGGAAACCTCAGGTCTCCTGCAGTCCTGAAACAGCAAAATTGGAAACCTGAGCTTGGAGTTTACAACCTCTAATTCAGACAAGGAGACTAAGAACACCCCACAGCTCTTCCCAGCACTTTGAGGGTGGGATTTCTCCTACCACTTGGCTTTTGCTCCTGCAGCATTTCCATGGCTGGACTCTCTCCAGTGCTCCTGGGGTCTGTCCTGCTGCTCTGGCACAAACAGGCCATGGCCTGACTGTCACCTCAGTCCCTCACACTTCAGAGTATCCCTTAGATTGCCTTCCTGGTGTGTTTTCAGGGAGATAGGAGGTACCTGGCCTGTCTGTGGCCAGTTGGATGGGGTTGTCAGCTCCTCCCTGCTGGGATGCTGGGCCCTGTGGGAGATGCTGGTGGCACCGAGTGCTGCCGAGGTGTTTGGCCCTCCCTGCGATCTGCTGGCCCCCCGGGGGTGATGGACACGTGGGATTTGGGTTGTGCCGGTGGGTTTTGGGTTGTCCCGGGGAGGGGTGACCGAGGCCTCAAGGTGGCAGCACGGAACAGCCGACGGGGCTCGGCGCTCCCGAGGCGCGGGGATCCTTCCAGTCCCTGCCTTCCAGGGTGAGCACCGCACAGGCTCAGCCGGGTGGTGGTGCCTGCCAGAGCATTTGGGATGAGAGCCCTGTGCCCAGGGTTTGGTAGCTGTAATCTGAACATCCCCGGGCTCTGAGCATGGAGCTCCCATGCGGAGCGGGGGGTCCGTCCCTCTTTGTTCCAAGGGTGGTTGTTCCAGTGGCTGCTGCCAGGCTCTGCCAGCGGGATCCTCAGCCCTGTGACACCGAGGTGGCAGCAGCTCCTCTCTCCCCAGAGCTTCTGTGAGCCCGAGAGCTACCGCCCGATGCACCACAAGGACTTTAAGGAGGACCTGAAGAGGTTCCGCACCAAGAGCCGGACCTGGGCTGGGGAGAAGAGCAAGAGGGAGATGTACAGTCGCCTGAAGAAGCTCTGAGGGCTGTGGGCACCCAGCACGGACTGTCCAGCGTGGGGGGCCTCTCTCCTCCTCTGTTTGCTCCCTGGGAACTCCTGGAACTTGGGGCTTCGGGCCCGGATCCGGCCGGGAGCTGCCTTTGGTTATTTTTGTTACATTGCTTCCTGAAAAATGGCTTCTTGTGTTCTGTGCCACCCCCAGAGCACCCGGGGAGGGGTGGGGAGAGACCCGTGGGGGTAGCAGTGTTGAGGGTGTTTTAGTGCCTGTTATTTTTTTAAATGCTCGATTTTATTTAAATACAGTCAAATGAAGCCAATACTGCTGCTGTTGGATCATCTGGGTTCTACTCAGACCTGGTTTCTGCCCCAGGGCATCCTGCTGGTGGAGGGGTGGGGGTTAATTATTGTACTCAGCTGCAGCTTTGGTTCTGTGTAGTGTTTGTGGTGAAGGAAAATGGGAGATGTCCCGTTACAGCCCGAGGTTCCCACCTCTAAGCCTTCGAAAGCCCATCTAAGGGGAATTGCTGGTTCATAAATATCATGTTCACCTCGTTTACTTCAAATTGTTTTATTTCATAGTCTCTTTGTGTAGTTTTAGAGGAGTTGGTGTTTTAAAGGAGGGAGAATTTCTGGGAGCTGGGAGGGGATCAGCAGTGGGGTGAAAAGCTGTCGATTTGCTGTCGCCGCTGCCTCCGAGGGTGTGAGTTGTTATCCTGAAACATTCCCAGAACAGAGAGTGAGGAATCCTGGGAGGCTGCTCCTACACCTGGGGGTGATTGTGGCCTCTTCTCCCTCTGCCAGGAAAGGGCAGGAAGTAAATTAATCCTTGAAGGAAGAGGAACTTCCTCGGCAGCGTTGGGCCCTACAGCTGAGGAAGTTCTGCTGTGCCAGCCCCAAAACTGCTTGGCTGCTGATTTTTGGGGTCACATCAGCCCCAACTCTCCAGTCCTGCAGCAGCCCAGGGATTTTGGGGTGGGATGGAGCTGGAGCTCATCTTCCTCACACACCAGCTTCCTGGAGAAACTGGTGCTCCTTGGGAGCACCACGTGCCTGGGAAGCTCCCAGCTCTCCTCTCGTGTCCTGTTTGTATCCGTGTCAAAAAAGTATTGAAATGGAGGTGCCTTATGTGGAGTTCTAACTTGATTTTTTTTTTTTGAAAATCTGTTTCTTAAAACGTTGTTGTTAATCCTCTTGAGAAGCAAAAGGGTAGACTTGGAGTTTTTTCTCGTTTAAAAAAAAATAAATTGGAATTTGCTGTTTTCCCTCAAAGCTGAAGCCCTCGAAGGGGGAGATGAGGAAATGCTAAATCAGAAATGGTGGTTACAGATTTCTCCCTTTGGAAAATTTGGGAGGGCTGAACTCCTGAGTGGGGGATGTGGGGTGGGAGGAGGCCACGGGCAGTGACCTGAGTGACCCAAACTGCTCTTTGGTCAAGGCCAGGGGGTAAATCATCAGTTCCACACGAGGGCTGGGCAGGATCTCTTGGTACAACTCCATGATCCAACAGTTTCTCCATGTGAGAGTTTAACTCCTCAGAAAAAGCGGATGGAGACTTGCTGGGGTCATGATGCTCATTTCTGAGGACACTCAGCTGGAGCAAAACTCTTACAGCAATCCCTGCTGTGCAGCTGCACTTCCCCTGGACCTGCTCATCATCCCAAACTTCCTGCTCTGCAGGAAGCTGGATCTGGGGCGGGTGCTGGGGCTGTGGCCCAGCAGTACTGGGGGATGAGCAGAGATGGGGAATGATTGTGGTGCCAAACTTTGCCCCAAAAGGCACAGAGGAACTGCTCAGAGACAGAGTTTTAGTCTTTAAGCAGGGAGGTGTTTATTCAAGGCAACGCTGGAGAGCAGCCAGCTCACGCTGGACAAACTGCTCTGCCTCTTCAGTGAAAAGACAGGATTATATACAATTTTTACAAGTGATTACAACATTTTCACGTGCATATCCATATAATTGCAACACCTAGTTATAATATTCCTAATAGGCGGAGTCTGGGAGGAGTCTGGGGTGGAGTCGTCTTTCTGGGGTGATGTTTGGTGGTCGTTCCTGTTCCTTCAGCCTCGCGGGGTCGCATTTTTACTCTTCTTCCTCGGCTGAACTTTTCAACTGGAGCCCTGTGGGGATGGAAATGAGCCCCTGGTGTCAGAGCCCACCTTGCTCTGTGGGTCTGGAGTCCTGAGGTGGGAGAAGGCTGGGAGAGGGGTGTTCCAGGCAGGATCTGCACTGTGTCATCCCAGAGCTTAATGGATTGCTGTGGGCAAAGGGAATAAGGTCCTAAAAACCCCAACAGTTTGAATCCAAATCTGCTGCAGCAGAGGCACTGGTGAAGCTGCTCTGTGTCACTGCAGTGTCAGAACCAGCCCAGGGTGGGGGTTGCTGCTTTTCATGTCCTGGGTCCTTGCTTGTTGCTTGCAGGAGAAACACTTCCAGAGAAACTGGGGCTGCTCCATCCCTGGAAGTGTCCAAGGCCAGGTTGGATGACTCTTGGAGCAGCCTGGGCTGGTGGAAGGTGTCCCTGCCCATGGCAGGGGGTGGCACTGGATGGGCTTTGAGGTCCCTTCCCACCCAAACCATTCTGGGGTTCTGTGAACTCCAGGGCTGCAGCCACCTGAATGTCAAAGCTGGGCATTCCCATCACTCCATGTTCGTTGTGGAGTCTCAGCTCGCTTTGGGATGAGGGTCCTGGGCTGTGCTGGAGGCTTTCCCAGGGCTGGGAAGAGCTTCAGCAGAGCGTGGGGGTGACGAGCAGGTGGCCAACAATGGGGTCAGCATTAAAAGCTTCCCTGAAAACACAGCAATGTGACTCCAAATCCGCGGGAGGCTCAAGCAGAGAACTGGGTGGGGTTTTTTTCCCTTCCCTCCATCTGTCATCCTTAAAACTCCTTTTGAAAGCAGCTTAAACCTTCATCAGCTTTGACCACCAGCTCCTGACTGGCACAAAGGTTGGTGTTTCCTTGCACGTTGTGTTACCTTTGGTGGCCTAAAGGGACTCTTGTGCTCTGTCTTTTGTGGCGTTTGGGGCTAATAAAGGCCAACTGCAAAGGGCCAGCTGCCCTGCTGTGCCAGCAGCTCCTGGATCCCTTGGATTCCCTTGGCAATTGGCAGTGGGCGTTGGACATCCCTCCAGTGCTGCCTGGCTGTGGCGTTCGGTGCTGCCCCAACCAGCCAGTTCCCTGCTTTTAACTCCTTTTGCAGCTTTTCAAACCAATCTGCCTTTGCCCTCGGCTGCTGCCCTTGGGGTGTGAGGCAGCAGGGAATGGGCAGGGGCTGCACCACCAGGGTCTTCCTCACCCAAAATTCTCCCCTCGGGGCGGGCAGCAGGAGGGGAGGAAGGGCAGGTGGGCACAGGGGGGTGGCAGCCCCAGAGGTGCCTCCCTGTCCCATCCAGGCTTCACCCCTCAGCTTCACCTCCTGCCACGGGGCCACGTGTGTGTTCTGGGAGACCCTCAGGCACTTCTGGAGAAGGGATGTGACCGAGACCCCCGCTGGGGTCTGCCCTGGGGGCCTGATGTGCCTTTGGGGTCCCAGCCCCAGCCAGGCTGTGCTGGCCCAGGGCGTGTGTGCTGCAGACAGGCCGGGGCTGTGGCTGTTGGATGAACTCTCCAGTCGTGTTTGCTTGGGCTTAAGGCTCGAGCAAGGAGCCATAAAAAGGGAGGATAACATCAGCAGAGGAAAGTGGAAGGAGGCCAAGAGGAACGTGGCCAAGTGCCCTTTCCTTCTTTCTCTGGCTCTGTGCGGGGAACCCCCGAGAGTGTGGGATGTGTCACATCCCTGTGCCAGGCCGGGCATGGCCCCACCACCACGGGGACACACGAGAGGAATGTCCCTGGTGGGGGTCTGGGGGTCCCGGGGAGGGCAGGGAATGGAGGGAGGCTGAGCTGGGGGAGAGGGGCCCAGGGAAAGAGCTCCTGTACGGATGGAGCTGCAGCTCCCGCTCCACCTCGGGGCACATCCACGTGGGGTGGCTTCTGTCGCCGCGTTTGGTGGCACGGGAGGGCCGGTTGGGGTAGGAGGAGCCCCGTGGCTGCATCCCGGGTGTCTCCACGGAAGGAATTAAGCAGGGCGGGGCAGGAGACGGCGGCGGGGGGAGCGGAGTGTGTGCGGACATCCCGCGGGCGGCTGGACCGGCCTCTGCCAGCCCCTGCCAGGGCCACGGGGAGGGACAACCCCGGCTCCGGGAGGGGACAACCCCGGCTCTGAGAGGGGACACCCCCGGCTCCGCACTGCTTGTCCCTGCAACCCCCTCGGCGGGATTCCCGCCCCGGGAATTCCGTGCCATGGCTCAGCACACCCCCCCGAGCGAGCCCCGGTGCCGATGGAGGGTTGGGAAGCGGGGCTGACCCCGGGGATGCCCTGGCAGCTCCCCCACAGGAGACCCCCGCGGGCCGGTGGAGGCTCCCCAGGAGCTGCTCCCCTTCCTGGGCACAGGCTCCCCGTGCCAGGGGAGGGCCGTGGCCCGTCCCGAGGGTCCCGTGCCCTGGGGGAGGGCAGCGAGGGTGCCCTGGGAACAGCCCCGGGGCCGCGCTGACGGGGGATGATGCAGCAGCACAGCCCCGGCCCGTGACGCTGCCGGGCTGTAATTAGCAGGTGCCAGCACTGCTGGGGTTTGGCCCTGGTTCAGCCCTGCTTTGCCTCTGCTTCCTCCCACCATCCTCCTCCTCTGTGGGGCTGAGCAGTCCCGCGGGCACAGTCCCCCCCAGAGCCCGTGTCCCGCAGGCTGAGGAGCAGAGCTGTGCTCCGGGAGGCAGCACGGCGAGGCTTTCAAACCCACTGAAGCAGTTTGGTGGGTGTGAGGTCCGTGGGGGAGCCCTGTGCTCGTGGGAGCTCTCTGGGCACCGCCACAGTCCCAGGAAACGCGGGCTCTGCCCTTGCAGAGCAGCCACAAGTGAATTTGGGGCTGTGTTTGGGGTTTTCCCAGGCGCAGAGCCGGGGGTTTGCATGTGGAGGGGATGAGTTTGGTCCTGGCCGTTCCCCTGTTGCTGCAGGAGGGGAAGTGGTGACACAAGTTCCACACTGGGAACAACAGGTCACATCCCCCCAGCCCCACAAACCTGCAGCCCCCTGGGC